AGCTCCCAGTCCTCATTTCACTGCACCAGGCACCTGCGTCTCTCACCGTTTCAGTACGTTTACGCGCGTCACAATCTGCCACTATAAAATGTTGCGACATGTTGCGATGTCGTTCGAGGTTGAAGCACTTCGAGAGCAGGTCTTATGGTCAGAATGAGTGCCGGACGCCACATTTCATATGATGTCACATGCCACGAAGGCAGGTGCCAATTCTTTTGCGCAAGAGCAGTCGCGCGTTTTTGAGTAAACACGTCCTCAGGTTTTGACATTGGTTCGGAATGCTTTCAAATGGCCTTAGGTATCCTTAGGTCCTTCTTGGTGGCAAAACATGTTCTCCCCGTTTGTGCAACAAAAACCGCATCCGGCGCCATCGATCCGCCTCTCCAGGCATCACTCCGGAGAACTTGCCTTTCCTGTGGAGCGAAGGCTGGAGGCGATGGCAGGACGACCCACGTGCCATCGACTCCATCGACCCTTTGTTCCATTGAATTGGAACAAGGTTCGCAACGAACGGGGCTCCTGGCATCGCTACTTGGAACAAGGACGCTACTATAGGGGGGCCAGGAGCCGCACTACTAGGAGTAAGGGCATCGCTACTAGGAACAAGAACCCCGAAAAGGTTCGAACCGAAGCTTCGCACAGAAGCTAAAGAACGTGCCCAACTGCAAAAGTCTCAACACTGTCAGTCTCAACGTGTCCGACTCCAGGCCTGGCAGCCTAAGGAAGCAGCTTGGGGAAGGGATCATGCAAAGATCAGTGGGAACTCTCAACAGCCTGCGGCCTCCCATCACCTGTGCCCTCCCTCTACTGGCTTTAGGGGCGACGGGTCAGAGGATCTGCAATGCACATTAATCATCAAAGAGTCTTGCCGCATTGCCCATGTTTCATCCTTGCATGGTGAGCTTGCTTGCTATCAAGGCTCAGAGTCCTCATCCTTTTCCTATTCGGTCTGGCTTTCACATCCTCCCCGTCTGTCAATGCTCCAACACTCCTTTGAGCTTCTGGCTGGCTTCTCATTGTCCGGGGAGGTGTCCTCAGCCAAGACCCCATCAGTGCTTTGTGAGGCCACCCTTCAAATTCATTCATCTTGTGGACGACTGGAACATTGTCGGAACACTTCCAAAAACATGAACACCCGTCACGAATTTCAACCAGCTTTGCCTGGTGCTCATTGTGGTGCGAAGTAGCAGGAACCAAGGTGAGTGAGAAGTTCAAATCATAACTGCACCTCTATTTGGACCACACAATTCGACTCTCACGCGCCAACTGAGGATGTAAGGTTCCCCGGCTGATACAAATCCCTCCTCCTCCTCTTCCTGACACTTTGGAGCCCGTCGGATTGTTCAAGCTGGCGGCAGACCTTTGACAAACATAGGGCTTCTTGATGCTTCCTATGATTCTTATGTGTTTGTGGTCTGGTCCCTTCGCATCACCATGAAAGCCGATGAGTTGCCCGAGCCGGAGAATCAGGGTGTTCACGTTGCCTTACGTCTAGCGGAACAAAGACAGGCGTTTCGGGATCCCCCAACAAAATGACCGCTGCTTTTGCCCTCTTGGGGCCCCTTCCGATCTCCCCTTCGGTTCTCGCCTCTGCCTCCTTTCGGGCCTTCTCGCTTCGGAGCTGCTCCACCTTGGGAGCCGTTGATGGGACGTAGGGTTGGGGGGGGAAGCACGATGAGGCATGAATCCTACACACTTTTCTCAAGTAAATAGCATGTGGGACAACCTGAGAAGCACTAGGGCAATGACTTGTCATTGGGTCACAGAAGAATTGAGGTCATCCTGTTAATTCAAATTCCCATCGCTTCGAACGTTTGTGGAAGGCCTTTGAGTTCGAAGTCCTGTCCTCCAAAATCAGGTATCCTTTTTCCCCTAGGGGCTCCTGGCCCTACTACTAGGAGCAAGGACGCTACTAGGAGCAAGGTCTCTTTTTTTCCCACGTCCCTCGAGTGTCGAGTCCCCAGGCCGCATCCTGGATGTTGTTGTTACACCGTGGCTCCTGCAAAACACGCAGAAAGGCCATGTGCCGAAAAAGAGCTGCCAATGAGCATCCAACGAGCCCATCCGGAGTCCATCCATTCGCCCGGTCCCCATCTCCCGGTCCTCTTCTGAGATGGCAGCAATGCCATCTTCCTGGCATGTGTCGCCATGGTGGGAGGCAGAATCCACTCATCACACTTCACCGTTCCACCCCTGGAGTCTGAGGTTTTTGCTGAAAAACCACCTGTCGCTGTTTTGACTGGCTAAGACGTTTGTTCAGGCAGCTGTTGAAAGCACGGATGATTGAATAACAGCGCTTGCCCTACGCCATGTTCTGGGGTGCCTTTGCAACCTGCTTGAGATCCTCCTGCTGTTAGAGACACTTTCTTCACTACGAGCTGCGTACTTCCAAACACGATCGGTTCAACTTGGTTTTGCAAAGGTCTCCCACGTCTTTCCAATGAGACCACTGGACCCTCTGGCCTCAGCGGCAGCCTTCTCTTTGGATTTCCATTCGGCCCACAACTTCCTGGAAGCAACTGGACAAAGGGATGGGAGCACTCTTCAGCAGAGAGACGGCTCCTTGGGAACTCCAGTGGGAACTCCTTGGTGCTTTGTGGTGCCCCAACCAATCACCCTTCTCTCTGAGCGGACGCCTCTTCACCCGGCTGGCCGCAGGCCTCATCTCGTCCTCGTCTTTCTCTTGGAGATCTCCGAGGTACATCAAACGGGCCTCATCTCGCAGCGCAAGTCGCACTGCTGCCGTCGCACTGCATGTTGTGGCGTCATGTGGCGTACGCGTCGAAAGGTGGAGCCCCACCGGATGCCCGTCTTACACAAAACACGGACAACTGGCGGCAACTGTGAGACGTTTATGCGAACTGCCCACGAGTTCGAAGCTCGTTGATAGCCAATCTGGCCTAGCTCATCTGATAAGGGGCACAAAAAGACCCACAAGCCGGGTCAGGATGGGCGATTTTTTTCAAAGAAAACGTACCTTTTTCTCGATTCAATTTGCCCGGTGTGGGACGTTCACCATGTGCAAATCCAAGGCGCCGTGTGGGCATGGCCCTTCTTCCTCCGCACTGCTGGTGTCTCTGGCTCGTGCTTGGAGCCAGCCTGGCGAGGAGACGTGGGTCTTCGTTGGCGTTTAGACTCCGAAGATTGCATCCAACCTAGAAGCGAAGGCCTCCAACCTACTAGTGATGGCGATGGCCTCCAACCTGATAAGAATGGCCTCTAGACTTGCATCCGAAGATTTGAACAAAGTCTGAGCATTCAATCTTTTAGGACCCTTCCAGAGAATTCCGAGGGTCAGGATGGAAGGTGAGAAGTTCTCGTCCAAGCCCCTTTGACCGTCCTAATCCATAGTTGACTTGAATTTGTGGACAGCCTCTTTTTGGAAAGTATGCTACATCTCCATGAAAGGGGGCTGATGTCGGCATCGTTCATCCGCAGTTTCCGCGGAATGCTCAAGCCTTTCTCCTACAAAGAGCACCGTTGCTTCAAAAAGAGGTCTGTTGATTGAGTAGATCACGACGATACGTTGTGAATTGAAGTCTCCAACCCGAGCAGTTCAACATAGTTCAATCCCAACCCAATGAGCAAAAAGAATTGTACCTCAAGGGGTTGCACCAGGTGTGTTTTTAGTTTGGGTTTCTTGGCCTTGACACGGCCAGTGTTCCAAGTACCGCCTGTACTGAGTACTGAGGTGTGACCTTGCTTCAAAAGATGCATCAACAGCTTCCAGATCTATATGCCAAACCAAGACCGCTCGATCCGCAAGGTGTCTGAGACATGTTGTTTCCAGGAGAGTAAGCATGGACACAGAAGAGACTTCTCCGGATTCCGTAAGCCGGGCCGACCTTGCTATCCTCTACGACAACCTTCTTTTCTTCCTTCTTCCTGGCAGTCTGGGCCAAACAAACAGTGGAGCACCTGAACGAGATTTCTTGTCTGAAGTAGCGAGCAGCAGCGCTCGCAACATGGGATTGGCCAAGTGATTTGGCTCTGGTCATGTCAATAGATCTGTTTGTGATCCGAAGCTCTCAAACTAAATATGGATAGAGACAATTGTTGAGGATTGGAATGCGATCTTCAGCATCTCCCCCAAAGCGCCCTCGAGGTACTGCTCAGACTGCTCAAACGCGCGTGAAACAAAGGCTCAAAACAGTGCAACATCTTCGGATCCTTTCATTGTCTCCAAACAGCGGCGCCAAGTGCATCTGACACAAGCGTCGTAATTCAATCGCAAAAGACACCTGTGCCAATCCCCGTCGTGCACTGTAGCTGTGAAGTCATGAAAAAAGTGCCCCAAACTCCCTGAAACTTCTCCCGATAGAAGCTACTGGAAACAACAACGCTACTAGGTGGAGGCCATCGCAATTAGGTTGGAGGCCCTTACTACTAGTAGCAAGAAGCTACTAGTAACAAACTGCATGGCGTTTTCGGACTCCTCCAACTCCCCAGGCAGCCGTCGCACTCTGGGACACCCGAACGGCTCCACCGGCTTGGGCGCCACAACCGGTCCTCCGACCTCGGTTTCGGTGCGGAGACGGGCGCCGTTCGGGTGGACCTGAGATGGACAGATTGCTTTTCGGCGGAGGGAACCCCTCGCACGTCATGCACATGATATACGATGGACATGACTATACACTCAATTCCTATAGACTAGACATAACTAAGACACTACACATATATATATATATAACTATATATAGACTCCATTCCTCGAGATTGGATGTGGACAGTTTCACGGTCGGCCGGCCAATGGATATTTATTGGGGGCAACATCCGCATTGAGCAACAACAAGAAGCTACTAGGAGCAAGGGCATCGCTACGAACGGAGCAAGGACGCTACGAACGTAGCTCCTGGCCGTACTACTAGGAACAAGGTTCGCTAGGAACGCAACAAGAAGCTACTAGGGGCTCCTGGCATCGCTACTAGGAGCAAGAAACGCTACGAACGGGGCTCCTGGCCTTACTACTAGGAGCAAGTAGCTTCTAGGAACAAGGTTCGCTACGAACGTAACACCCCGTTCCATCCAAAATCGAACTTCTGCAGCAAAGCTTCCCCTTGCGACGGTGCCGTCGTGAGGCGGTTGTCACGCCGCACAAACTCCGGGCGTGACATGAAGTCCTCACAGTTCCGTCCCAATTCGGAGCTTGATTCCTAGTAACAAGTGCCACGCTAGTAGTAACAGGTGCCTTACTAGTAGTAACAAGAAGCTATTAGAAACAAGCTTTTTGTTACTACTAGTAAGGCACTTGTTACTAGAAGCGATGCACTTGTTACTAGTAGCGATGCCCTTGTTAACAGGTTCTCATCGAAAAGCCTAATGTTCATCTTGAATAGCGCCTTTTGTGACACTATATTAGTGGCGGATGGGCGATCGGACCCTTGTGTTAGAAGTGACTCTTATAGACTTGTTCTGTCTCTTATTTGACGCTGCCCACGCTGCCCAGGTCCTCTTGTGGCGTCTCACCCAAGCGATTCCCAAGACCTGGGCTTTCAGGAGCTTGCCACTGGGCCAGCACTGGCTGTAGCACGTCTCACTGATTCTTTCTCCATTCTGCCGATTGCATCAGGGCACGGATCCCCTTCTCAAAGTCTTTGTTGATCTTTTCCAACAAATCCGTCCGCCGGTTCTCTGCCTCACAGTTTCAGGCTCTTCCAAAGCAGCAAAACCTACTGTAAATCTTAAGCTAAGCTTGTCCCTAAAAATCTAACAACCAAATCATTACGGCGTGAGCTATCCTGCGTCCTGTCAGCAGTGGCTTACTTGTAACATACTAGCTACCTCTTCTACTAGCTGCTTCTAGCTACTAACTACCTCCTAGCCGCCTAGGTAGGGCGTTAAACAACACATCTGTGTCATGTCGTCCTGACCGATGTCCAGTCGTCTGTCCGCACCTCTTGATCCACCTGCTTCCGTGTGGAGGTGACCTTTCGATGTGCGGAGCCTCAAAACGCGCGGAGCCATGCGGAGCCTTTTGGGGTGCGAAGAGAGATCAGCTTATGCCATTCGCGTCGAAAGGATGTGCCTGAACATGAGGGGAATGTACTGATTTTTGTTTCATATGGCTTTGAGACATGGCAATGGCTTCGCAAGTGGTCGGGTTTCACACGCGCAATCAATGACTTTGCAGCCCCAGTCACGGACGAATTCATTCAGGTCCTGCGGATGCCAAGGCGAACATGCCGCCCGCTGTTCATTGCATCCATGGAGAGTTGGGAGGTTTTGACTGAAAAAACAGGTCATAAAGCATCAAACAAACAGAATGAACCAAAAGGCGTCATAAAACCAGAAAGCATAACAAAATGGCTTAAACTGAGCACAACTGCATCCAACAGCGGGATGGAGAGTTTGCCACATGGCTAGGTCACGTGCCCAATCTGCCACGAACATTTCTGTCACTTAATCCCGACGTAAATGTCATCTGTGGCAGCACCGGAGCTAAGCGACCTCCTTATCCTCTTATAAGTTGAAGGCCATTGCCTAGTAGGTTTGGAGGCATTCGAGGTAGCAAGTGTAGAGTCATGTCAAGTCCCCACCGGCCCGGACATGCCCCCCTTTCGGTCGGGCTCCTCGTCGGCCTCCACGGTCTTCTCCCGGCCCTTCTCGGGGTCTGGTGCCGCGGCGGTGACGATCCATGGATGCTTCAAACCGTCCTGCACAGTCGCGGTGCTGTGTGGCCGATTGTCGGCTAGTAGCATCCATGCGCCTAGTAGCGATGCCAGGAGCCCCTAGTAGCGTCCATGCTCCGTTCGTAGCGATGCCCTTTGTTACTAGTAGCTTCTTGTTACTAGTACTAAGGCCAGGAGCCCTGTTCGTAGCGTCCAGAAACTAGCCTCATGTAAATCAGGCACCTTCCCACTCACGTCTAATTGTACACGAGCATGTGAGCAAATTTTCGGTTGAATCAATCAATTCGAAGCTTGGTCACTCGCCGAAAGACACCGTGTCAAACTCAAAGAAACCCTCCCATCCTCGGCGGTCATACGCTTGCGGACCGAGGGCTCCAAGCAACGCTTCAAGAAGCCTAGCCTGAGACAAGCGAAGGAGGACAGCGCTCTGCATCACAAGGGATTTCCAAATCCTACTTGGCTAATTAATTCTTGTTTCTAATAGCTTCTTGTTACTAGTAGTAAGGCACTTGTTACTAGAAGCGATGCACTTGTTCCTAGTAGCGAACATTGTTCCTACTTGGCTTGGGACCTGCGGCCCTGAAATTCTGAGAAAGCCAGTTGTCACTACTAGGAACAAAGGGCATCGCTACGAACGGGGCTCCTGGCCTTACTACTAGTAACAAGAAGCTAATAGAAACAAGCATTAAAACTATAATTAGAATTGAAACACGAAGCTACTAGGACCTTTTCGCGCGTGGAAAAACACATCCGCATCCACAAACTCACAGAAACTTACATGGCCGCTCAATACACTCCGTCAACTCTTTCCGAGGCCTTGGGTTTCGATCATCCCTTGGGTTTCGTCTTCCAACATCTCAGTTTCGCAATGTGTTGACAAAGTGTTTCGCTTCTTCGTTCCCTACTAGGAACAATGTTCGCTACTAGGAACAAATGCATCGCTACTAGTAACAAGTGCCTTACTAGTAGTAACAAGGACGCTAGTAGGTTCCCAACCACTCTGCCCAACTGCTCCGAGGTGCGTCTGCTGCGACAACTTCGCCTTGGTTTGCCACCGGATGGGCTCCGTTAAGACCTGGCGAGGTGTCAGGCATCCTCCTCAGGCCGTAGAGGTCGGTAGCAGGAATAGCTAGTAGCTAGATAGAGGTAGAAATGGCCAGTAGGAGCTTTTTCGCGCGCGCGCGCGCGTGTACCTACAAGTAGCTACTACTGACAGGATGCAGGAGAGCTCGCGCTTCAAAGAAACTCCCCCAGAAGCTTCCGTGAAGAAGCGCTCGCACTAATGATTTGGTTCCTAGATTTTGAGCTCCGGGGCGGGTGCCACCGGTGTCACCGGATCGGAACTCCATCGCTAGTAGAAGCAAAGACGCTGCTAGGTGCGCTCGTGGCCTTACTACAAAGGGCATCGCTACGAACGGAGCAAGAAGCTATTAGGTTGGAGGCCATCGCTAGGTCGAGTGGCCGAACCTCCCTCGCGCTTGGTTTGAAGCACCCCATGTACGTTTTGTACCAGAAAACGGCCTCTAACGATGTTTTGAAGACTTCGGTTTAGACATTGGCAGGATAGAGGAAGGCATAAGATTGCTACAAGATACCGAAGAACGTTCGGCACGCCTTCATCATGATATCCCTGGTGTTCTTCGAGTCATACCTTGGATTCAGCTCAGGTCAATGGGCCAATGTGGAAGCATCGGCAGCTTTCAGGGAGCGTCCCTTTCTTCCGCTGCATTCCAGAGCCCTGGAGTCATTGCTGATGCGTGCCGAGGTGCGGGTAGTGGCCGTACATGAGTAAGTACATGAGGACGCCAAAGGCCCACATGTCTACCATGTGGTTGTACTTCTGACCTTGGCTCGGACATTTTTGTGAACTCTTGAGGGTTTGTTCCAAGAAACCTCATGTGTAAACGACTCAAACCGCCAAGTCAGCAAAATAAAGACTTGACACGCTGCTCGAAGTGCCTCTTCTCATTCTTCAGTCGAGGCACCAATTAATTCAGGCGCCAAATAGTGAGGGGATCCACAAATCTCCTGAAGCTTTGACGCGCAAGCTCTAGTATCTGTGGTCTCTGACATTCTTACGCCTTAGATTGACCTCATTCACGATAGCTTTTCGGATTGAAACCATCATGCCTATGGAAGACAGGTATCTGGGACACCCAGCAAGGATGGGAGCATGTTTTTGTCCCACGCAAACAAAGGTCGAAAAAAAAACACGGTCTTTCATCTGGCGCTGATCAGAAGGGTACCACAGAGCACCTTGAACCACACGCCATGATCGAACTTCACAGCCATACCAAAGTCGATCATCTTGACCTCGGCGCACCAACGCGGAGAAGAACCTGCAAAAAAAGGAAAACATACTGCGGACTTGGGCCTCTTCCATAAGGCCCCTTCAAATGTCCGAATTCACTTGCCAGGCCGCCACTGAGGTTGGAGATTTGTCGGAGAGCAAGAAGTTCTCTGCCTAAAAGCAAGTGCACCACCTGCTCCATCAATAACCCCTAGCAATCATCCAATCATGCAAACATCGAAAATCGAACTGTGAAAACGATCAACATGATCATCGGTCAGGCCGAGCTGCTTTGATGTCCCTGTGCATGATGCTCTTTGTGTGGATGTACGCAATTGCTGCCTCGGCACCGCCATTGACGCACTCCCAACTGCTTGCTTGGAGCAGTGAAGCCTCCTGGCCCCTTTGCCAAGTTTGAGGAGATATATCCAGGCTCTCTCGCTTCGCCAAGATGCGAGCATCTGAGATCCAAGTGTCGCAGCATTTGCTTCGGTGAAACGTCGAAGTTCCAAGATCTTCCTTAGCGAGCTTAGGGTCTCGGTGCCGCTCTGAGGGGGCGAACTGGAAGCCCCGAACGTGCTCCGTCCGATCGCTCCGTTCGTAGCGAGGCCAGGAGCCGGCCTTTTTGGGCGTTTCTTCTTTCGTGCAAGGTGCGAGAAGACTTCGCCTCCTCGACAAAGATCCATGACCTGAGGACAGAACATCTCAACTGAAGGTTTCGATCCCCTTCGCTCCGACATCGGCGAAAGGAGCATTCTTCGTCGTCATGAAGGGTTTCAAAACATCTTATATAAAGCCAGTGTGAGAAATTCAACGTCCTCAATTCACTTCGCAATGCACTGCGTGCAAAGGCTTGGCAAAAGAAGATTCCTCTGGGTTCCAGGTCGTGCCTCCTCATACCTGCAGCCAGTCTGTGTGTTTTCTCATGCGTCGTTCCTCATGCAAGTTCAGCCACCACGTACAGAAAGTGCACATCCTCGTAGACATCCCAGAAGCGCACCTCAAAGCTAGCTGGCTGCTTTGGCGGACAAGAAAGAAGACATGAACTTGCTTAAGCATCTCGGTGTGCCATGTGGAGAATTTGTGCGCGCATATTCATGTGTGTAAATCTCCGCATCTTCCCTATCAGCCCTATCACAAGCTCTTAGATGTGATGTTTGTGTTGCATTTTGTGGGCTTTGTCTTTGTATCTGGCATTCCCTATGTCAAATCTACGTGGCACCAGGGCCCCAATCTTCTTGTAGCAACGGTTCTTGGAACCTCGAAACTCAAGAGAACACACCCAGAAAACCAAGCGAATCACCTGAACAGTTGGTTTCATCCTGATTCATTGTGCGAGTGATTGGCAAGCTGACCGGGTTGCCCCCCCAGCTGGGGCGACAGGCAATGTTGTCATGCTTGAGGTTTTGCAGCAGGGCCACCTCGTGATGGCAACATGATCAAACTCTTGTGAATGACTCTAACGCGGCTTCCAGGCACCTGGAGGCCATTGCTAGTAGGTTGGAGGCCATTGCTACTAGAAACACAGGGCTAAATATAGTTTGCTACTAGGTTGGAGGCCATCGCTAGGTTCCAGGCACCTGGACAGAAGTGCAAAGTGATCTTGTTGTGGAAAAGAACAATCCATAGATATGGATAGGAAGTATAGCTCGCTCTGGCGAAGAATCTTTGGGAAGCTTGACGACGTGCCTTTCTTCTACGCAATGACATGCACGCACACACACACACACACATCGGCAAACACAGCCCTCCGCCCTGGACCAGGAAGCGCCTCTTGTCGAAACATGGCGCTGTTGCCTCGGGTTCGGTGTTAGTGGTGAAAGATCCAAACATACACAGCGAAGTCACGAGGGAAAAGGAGCAACTAATGCATTTTTCACCTGTAAACACATGGGCTGTCCAATTTACAGGATATATATATATATATATCTTCACACACTTAGAGAAGGACGACCCCATACATAGACGATGCCATCGAGCGGCTCCACTCTCCGCCGTGCTCTGCGTCATCATCACGCTCGATGATCTTGACCGCCCTCACTTTGTCCTCGGGCGGACGTCGGCGGAGCCGGTGATCATGTAAACCATGGATTGACCGGCGAGGCGAACCTCGGATCAGGAGATCGAAGGTCGCAGACCCTGCATATGACATGGACGGGAATCAAGACCAGGTCTAAAGGCCTCCAGACTTCGGATCTCGGCTTCAAGACTTCACGATTGTCTTTCTGCTCACGTCTCGCCCAGTGACCGGGAAGTCTTTCAGTGCAGCCTCCCGGACCTCCAAGCGACGAGCGGCTGATCGGTGATCGGTGGGAGCTGATCACGTTCCTTTATTTGCACACATCCAGGTCTGAGAATTGCGGTCTCCCACGAAGGGAACCATACAAGACAACCACAACACATTAAACGCTAAAAGCACAGTAAAGAAGGAACACAACCATTTTTTGTGAGTTGCGAATAGCAACGGCTTCTAATCTAAAAGCGATGGATGGCCTCCAACCTAGTAGCAAACAGGGAACCGAACACGAAGGGAACACGAGAGTGTTGTCTGGCCTGTCCAAAGGATCCGCTGCCCAGGACCTTGCCAAGCTCGTACTTGTCACGGATATCCTCGCGAACGAGCAAGCACACACAAACATACATGGATATGGTCGATTTCACTGGAGCTTGTTTAGAATAAAGCAGCTCTTGGTGAATTTGGTTAAGCTGGCCCCCTTGATATCCTTCCGTGGCCTCTACTCGGAACATTTGGGACATCACATTTTGGCCTCCATGTCCATAGGTTGAAGCCAAGCCTTTGAACACAAGTGTCCAGTGAATGGTGTGGTGTCCTCCCGGGCTTTCTCTGGCTGCTTGGTGCCCTCTGTGGAGGCCTTCTCCAAGACTACAGCCTTATCAGCGCCTGTGTGGTTGAGTCGATGACAAAGCCACGGAGAAAGTCATAGAGCATGCGGACCATGACATGTCATGCAAGAACATCATGTCGCTAGATTGTCAGATGTTGTTGGGAACTCCTGCAAGCCACGGTTTTCACACCAAAACAAACTCGTTTCCACATGCTTGGCCACCAACTTCCCATGCAGCAAGCATAGGCACTTAGCCCCCCCGCAATACAATCATCATGAGAGTTAATCTCATGGGTGAAACCACTCGCTGGGCATGCTGGACACCTTCCCCGCAAAAAAAACAACGAGTTCCATGCCTTCTGGCCGCTGTGATGCATTTCCCATTCACCTGAAGCTGACGTGAGCTGATAGGAGTAGATGCACGGCCGGCGGCCTTGGTGCCACCCTTTCTACAAATGAGAGCACGACTATGTTCTTGTCAGGCAGTGGGGTGACCATGACATTGAGTGAAGCATGCACATGTCTTGAGCAATTGTCTAATTATTTGTACTGCATGAGTCAGCTCTCGGACCTGTTCCAGAGAGTTTCTGTATGCTTCTGTGCAGCCGCTCGGTCTACCAACCCTCTAACCGGGCAACGTCCGGCCTGCTGTGAGAGGCCCTAGCAGGTGCCAGGCCCAAACATCCCAAGCTCATGAGCCGGTCAAAGCGGAATGGCTGGCATTGAAGGTGTAATTAAAGGCCAACCGAACATAGCAAAAGGAACCGAACATAGCAATGGCCTCCAACCTAGTAGCGATGGCCTCCACCCTAGGCAATTAAAGGTTGTGTGGAGCTTTTTCGATCAACTTCGGTCAAACGAGTTTTCCTCCTGAAAAGGCATGCGTGGAAGCCTGTGTCTTTGAGCTCGGGCAAGGCCCAGCCACGCGTCCAAGCCTCCGAAACCGCATCTCCCAGGGCCATCCGTGCCGCACCGTGCCTCCATCTGATGTACCCTCTTCAGCTCCTGCAAAGGATCAATAGGTGGACTTGAGCTACAGAAAAGATCGTCTTGGCCCCAGGAAGTTGCAAGCTGTACCATCAGCACGTGGGGCTTGCAGCCCTCTTGGATGGGAGACTTGAACAACGGAAGGTTGACCACACAATGGGTGAAGCATGGCCCCTAGCTTTGATGATGCACAGGTTTAGCTTCCATCTCTTCCACTCCACATGTTTTCAAACCTAAAAGTCTCCGACTTGTCCCTTTCCTCTTGCTGTATCTCCAGCATGCTGCGGGTCTGATCCATCTCTGCCTCGCAACGAAACCGAGGTGTCGGTTCCGGACATCGTCTTCATCCACTCTTGATGACTCTTGGGCGTCCAAAACAAAGAAGCTACAGGTAGCTCCTGGCATCGCTACTAGGCGCAAGGACGCTACTAGGGGCTCCTGGCCTTACTACTAGGAGCAAGGAAGCTACGTTACTAGGGGCTCCTGGCATCGCTACTCGCAAGGACGCTACGTACTAGTAGCGCTAGTAGCTCCTGGCCTTACTAAGCAACTCTTGCGCGACCGTCGCCTCCTTGGCCAGAACGGACCAAAAAAACTACATGCGCCGCGAAAGTGCCTTGGAGTCGTTCACCTGTTCCTCCAACAAGCGTTTCTCCAAGTCTGCCTTGTTGGAGTCTCTGAGAGCCTGGGAAAACTCCGAAATAGAGAAATGCCAAATCAAGAAAATCAGTCCAGACATAGAAAGAATCATGCTGGTCCGACGGCAACGAATTGGTTCATGAAGGCTTCTGAATTCTCTGCTTGTCTCTGCTTGCGAACGGCAGCTCTACCACCGGTCAGGTGGGAGATCCAAGTCGCTAAAACAGAACCGGTCAGAACCGGTCACTAGGAACAAGTGCATCGCTACTAGTAACAAGTGCCTTACTAATAGTAACAAGAAGCTAGTAGAAACAAGTGCCTTACTACTAGGAACAATGTTCGCTACTAGGGGCTCCTGGCCTTACTACTAGGAACAAGGACGCTACGATCGGGGCTCCTGGCCTTACTACTAGGAACAAGGTTCGCTACGAAAGGGGCTCCTGGCATCGCTACTCGCAAGGACGCTATTAGGTTGGAGGCCATCTCTTCTAGGTTGAAGGCCATCGGGCCAAAAAGCAGGACCACACTCGCTGGGCGCATCCATTGACCCCTTTTGGCCGCTGCTCATTGGGCGTGACCAATGAGCGGTTATCCCAGTCAAGTGCCTGCCTTACCCCAAGCAGGCCACCCATATGCACAAATCACATAATTACTTCGCAAGGACTTTTGTAGCATGTCGGAGTTGTTTTTGGAGCATAAACTTAGTTGGCGACTTTCATCACGATGCTATGCACCATGCACGCTAAAACGGTCACTCTATATTGTTCTTTCAATGTCTCTTCTGCTCTTCCTTGGTGTGGGATAAGGAAACACATTGCACAACTGATTGGCCCTACCTGCTGTTTGCTTTGAAAGGCTTTCTGCATGTTCTCAGCCTTGGCCCTCTTTGGCCTCAGCTCTATGCTCTGCTGCGCTCCGTTCAGAAGGGCCGGCTGCTGCTATCCTCGTCCATGGGCTCTGCGACGGGCATCTCCACCTGGACGCTGGACTGCTTCTCAACCCGTTTGAAACGGCGGCCACCGGGTTGCAGCTTAGAGATCGCACCGTGTCGCAGCCCAAGCTGATGGGATGGCACCCATGTGATATCAATCAAATGATGCAAGGACCACATGTTTACTCTGCTCACTCTTAGGGCAGGCAGGAGACATCAGGTGCAGTTTGATGGATGTGTCTCCACCTTTCTTGGCTTCAATCATGCCAAGGAGCATCGGCAC